ACAGAAATTCTAGTACTAAAAGCGTATGTCTTGCGTTATTCATGATAAGACTGAAATGCCCGATGGAAAACTAGAATGTATGATCATCCACACAAAACCATCATACACTAGAGATCCGAAACTACCCGAGTTACACTGTCTCGTCGCGAGAGGAGGCGGTACGGATTTTGGCGGGTTACTCGCCTGCTTACTATCCAGTTTTTGCTGCATAGATATTATAATAATTTGAAAAAAATACAAAAATAGATAAGGGTCTGGGTATGAGTATAAAGATAGGAGTCATATACAGATGCGCATCAAAACCCACATTTCACCCTCACAGTAGCTTAAAGTACCTCCAAGTTCGTATGAAGTAGCACAAAAATCGCTCAAAGTATTTTAAATTAGCACAAAGTAGTTGAAGTACAGAAGTCTGCCGTTTTTTCCTTGGCTTAGTGTTAGCAAAACGATTTACAAAGAAAGATGAAAAAAGACTAGTCTTAGCAGCAAACAATCTATTCAATGACTGTTTTTATATATGTTTCTGACCAAGGAGGGGATTGAGCATAAAATTCATTAAAAGTTGTCTTCCATACTGAAGACGCTTCTATTTTATTAGCCCAAAATGTTAACAATCATCTAATAGAAAAGTAGTGCCCGTTCAATTATATTACTCTTCTAAACTCTATAGCACTAAATACTCTCGAAAATAAGAGAAATAAATGTGAAAACCTCGGATTTAAATCCGAGACTTATATGTACTTCAAAAAGTGAATCAGAGAGATGAGTCATCTTAGAATATGTGGGCATAACAATTATCCTGGTAAACCTTGCCTATGAACACTTGATTTCTATTGGCTAATACTCAAGCAATAGGATTTGGGGGTGAATACAGCTCAAATTTGAACTTTTCACCTTGATTTACCCTAAGAAATTCGTTTTTCCTATAACTTGATTTCTATTGGTTACTGCTCAACCAACGGGATTTCGAGGCGAATGGAACACAGATTCGAGTTTTCTACCCCAGAAAACCTCGAACTATCATCTCTGTGATCGGAAGATAGAGCTCTAATTGTAGATCACATAGAGTGTAGACGAAAACAGAATTGATTTCCGTACATTTATCTTAGCAATAGGTGAGTTAACTTTCTTGTTTCCTTAGTTTTATAGGCCATTTTGTAGCTCTTGAAATTCTCTATCGAATGGTATATAATAGTTGGGGTTTTATTTGACTATGATAGGAAAAGTTTTTTACGAAAACAGAGAAGGGTCTATCTTCTCATATGAAAGCATAGGGGAAAATGACTATTTTTGCAATAACTCAGGAATGGCTCGGCCAATCATTCTCATCTTCTTCTCTCGACCAAGATATTGTTTAGACTAAACTGTGTAGAAAATTTCATCGCGATCGGACTCTTCTTTCAAAAGCTATCGTGTAAACGGACGGCCGGACACACTGACCGATTCTAGAGTGTACTCACTTTTTGAGTGCTTAAAAATCAAGAAACTGAAGTCGCTTCATCCTCTACTGACTGCGCTTGATTGCATGAGCTTCTAAATCGTGATATACTGTTTCTCTTTTTTTAAAGAGATTGAAAGTGGAAATATTACTTTTCTCGGCAATTTTTCAATATGCCAATTTCAAAAATTTTCAAATATTCAAAAAGTGTTTCATGGGACTGTTACCATGAATACTCTCTAACTATTTAGTCTATTACTTACTGGTGGTTGTTCTTGTAGTTGTTCTTGTAGTTGTTGTAGTTGTTCTTGTAGT